CTTTTACCCAGTAGGAAACACGGCGCCTGAGCGGCACAAACGCTCAAAAGTTTGGTTACACTTTATGAGAAAGGATGACAACAGGGCAACGTGCAATACTTGCAAAGTAGAGATTTCATCAAAGGGAGGAAACACTACGAATATGCAAAAGCATTTGCTCAAAAAACACGCGATTGCTTTCAACGAATGTCGTGTTTTTGATCCGCTCCGGACTAGCGAAGCTCAACCCAGCAGCAGCGGTAGCGTTTCCACGTCCTCTCCCGTTAATACTGCAGGTAACTAATCAATTAGCATTGCATATTATGTTAGCGCGATTTACCTTATTACAAAACCTGCTATTACTGTGCGTTACATTTAGATAACCATGATGAGAGAGACAGAGTCTGGCTGGCTCAGATGCTGGCAGTTCTCGCTGCAGTCTACCGGTAGCGTCTCCTTTCAGGCCAGGATAGACGAATGTCACTGAGCAGTGTCTAAGTTTGTGGTCAAAGGCTTGCACCCATTTGCCGCAGCAGATGCCCCCGATTTCACTTTGGTAAGTGAATGTGTTTAATTGTAGGCAGGACATTACTGGATATTCTTGTGTAATTGCTACAGAATAATTTATGTTAAACTTTGTTATTGCTACAGGAGAATATTTATTTTATTATTTTACATATACATTTTTTTTCCTGGGGACCCTGTGACACCCCATTGAAGAGCCGTAGGCTGTGAATCTCTTAAGATCTCACTGTTGGTTTGTAAGGCCATGTTACTCCTAAATTTCTATCTTGTTCAAAGAGAAGATATAAAACACAGTTCTAAGCTAATCGACTTTAGTGTTCTCCTTTTTAAAAAAAATAATCGATAAAAGAATCGATAAGGAATCGAATCGTTAAACAGAATCGAAAATGGAATCGGAATCGTTAAAATCTTATCAATACCCATCCCTAATGACAACAGAGCCTTGACATTTGTAAATGGCCTGCATTTGTATAGCGCTTTTCTAGTCCCTAAGGACCCCAAAGCGCTTCACACTACATTCAGTCATTCACCCATTCACACACACATTCACACACTGGCGATGGCAAGCTACATTGTAGCCACAGCTGCCCTGGGGCGCACTGACAGAGGCGTTTTCTGATGCGTCACAGAGGCTCAAAGATCAGAGAATTGTGTTTGAGACGAGAGGTTGTTCGTTTCTGCTAGTCATTACCATTGCTTGAGCCCAAGACCAAACTCTTGAACCTGCTCGGTGGCCAACAGGCTGCACTGCGGTTTTAGAGGAAGTCCTACAGATACGACTGTCTCATGGACAATTTAAATGGAACAGAGAAAAAGTAAAGTTGTTGAGATTTGTTTGCCCAAACTAGCATTTCTTGCTGATATGTTGGTTGCTATTAATTAAGCACTTGTATGATGTGTTGGTGTTGTCTGCACACCACACCAGGACAGTCATTAGGAAACCCACCAATTCGACCTGCGACTCAGACAGAGGTTGCAGTTTGAAATGCCCTCGCAGCAGAAAGAGCAGCTTTGGGAGTTTGGCTGTAATGGGCCTGTAACTACCACGGCCACAATTGCAATGATAAAGTGGTCACACTCAAACTTGAGGCTACTGCAGTCTCCGTAGAGCTGAAATTACTGAGGTCTGGTTATACAAGATTCATATCCCAATATACTTAATGATGATGCATGATATAAATCTCAGTATCCTCTGTGAAAAGAAAAGTTCAGAGGCTGCTGCGTCAGTTTTACGAAACATAGTTAAACCGTTGTCCATCTTTCTTTGTGCAGTTTAAAATGATTCCAGGTTCATAATTATGAGAACTGCTTCACTGGGTCAACTGTTTTCACTCATCTGGGGATATCTCAGCTTCTTTGCTGTGGAGTTGGATGCGGTTCTGGTCAAACGTCATCGTTTTCCATACATTGTCGTTATCACACCGCGGCCTGCGTATCACATTCATACATAAACAGTAATGGATGTGTCTGGAGTAATGTGGGGTTCATGTTGACCAAGAGTGCTTCGACTATAGCGATCTACCAATGAATAAAAAGCTGGTACTGCCCGCCGTGTTACGGACACAAACTGCAGCACGATGGATTTCAGGCAGATATCCTTCAATTAGGTGGAGGCCATGCAATAATTATATTTACATCTTCACTCCTTTACCTGTTAAGGAAGTGAAGCTTTTATACTCCAGACTCAGTTATATTAAAAAAAATGCCATCTTATCAAACTCAGAATGAGTTATGAGAGAAGAGTGGAGAGCTACAAACGTGCAAAATTGTTAATATTTAAATGTTTTGATCATAATTCAGTACTGAAGCACAACCAGTTATCAAAAGTCACGCCGTGCTTCCTTTGAATGCTGAATATTTCTTTGCAGTGATAAGCTTTTTTTAGCCTCCGTCCCCTCAGCTTTTCTATAAAATAATGCAAACAATTTATTTTATAGAAACTTTTAGTACATCACTGCTGCATCAAGGTACCTAAAGTCCAGCCATTCAGATGCTGTAAATATAAAGAAGACTGGGAAAAGGGCTGTCCGCTCCCTGGAGCTGTCTGGCCAAAGCTCCATGAATACTGAGCTTGCGAAGAGTTTCAGGCAAATGCCATAAATATACCCATAAATGTAAACATACTGTTGCTGCTGTTGAACTTTGAAAACACTTTTGGAAGCAGAATAGCTCTTAATGTGTGTGGCGCTCCCTCTTCCCTTCGCTGTAAACTCAAGGTCAACAGACATATTACAGTCCTGACAGGAGCGGTGGACTCAGCCAAGGGACCGAGGACACATCCGGCTGCCGACAGGCTGCTTGGCCTTACTGGCTCCCTCTCTGTGTCGCTTTATAACTTTATTGATCTGGACAAAGCAGTGGAGCAGACAGGCCTATTACAGTGCACCCTGTATACCGCTGTGTTTCTTTCATGGTCATTCAGTGGAAGAGGTGCAGCAACGCCTCTACAGTGATGGGCACAGAGGAGCAAAATGAGGTTTTATTCTCAACAAAATTATATGTATATTGAGAAATAATGCAGAAAAAATCTAATCTAGCAGAGAAGAAGTAATCACAGTGCTATAGTTTCTGGATTCTGTCATTTGAGGGCTGAGCGTTAGCGTTTTGGATGCCATTGTTAGTGTGTGGAGTCAGAGTGAGCTCATAAGCTTATATTAGAAAGCTTGGTTAACACGCTGCATTCAGAAACACATTCCTGCTAATAAGTGCTCAGTAACACACTGATAAAATGCTGCAAAATCACCAAAGATGAAGCATAACGTTTGTGTTTGTACAATTAACCACAGGACAAGCCAAATTATTTATTAGCTTTTATTAAATTTGGTTAAAAAAAATCAGCGGTCGACTCAGATGGAGCTGAGATCTAGCAGGTAGCCTTTGGCTCAAGCTGCCTGTATCAATCAAAGAAGCCACGCCCCTGACAACCGGTATCCTGGTGGATGAGATACAAAAACAAACAGTTCATGTGAAAATGTAAAATATCCATAAAGGTGTTTTTTTTTTTAGATGTACCTCTCAACATTTATCTCTTCTGTAAAGCTGGCCAGTTTAAAACACCTTTTAAATGTGTGCTCGTTACTTCTGTTTCACCTCTGATATTTGAATCAGTAATCCGACACGCTGGCACTTCTAAATGTGAGCACAATTAACATTAAAGTCCCTGCTCTTTTCTGACTTGTCATATTATTTAATGTCAGCAGCTTCAAGGCTTTGGCTGTGCATTTCCTGCTGGCTGTGCAAAAAAAACTTTGGCTACGAGTTGGACTGTCAAACAAAGCTACGGTTTGTCAATTATAATGGTGCTTCTTCAGCAATAACACACATCCACTTTTGATGATAGAGTAGCAAATAAAATGCCTCGAATGGGCTCTACCTCTCCTCCGCACATCACCCCACCCCCACCCACAACCCTTCATCTTCTCCGGAGGTGTTGTTAGCAAAGAGCAGGCGCGCAGGAGGCTGAGTGAGCATCCACATTTTACAGCCGTGTGAGAACTTTGAAGAATTCCTGATGCTCTTGCACAGCAAGACTGTGAACCCAAAATGTTGCACAAATGATGTTATGATGATGGAGTTTATTTCTAAAGGCACAAGGCTCATTGGTGTTATTATTCAATAGTTGTGCTGAGTCAGCAGTTGTTTTAGTTTTGTTTGGGGAAATCAGGGGAATATGTGCTTACGGATGCTGTTATTATTTTAGCCCTTCAGACCCCCACAGGCAATCGAGGATTTAAGACTAGATACTATTTTAGTCCAACATTTCAAAGTAGACGTCTGGTGCAACAACATCTGGATGGATGGACAGAAGACACTTTTAAGAACTCCAGTTCCATAGATCTGTATGTAGTTGAATTTAGGTGACCAGAACTGACGGTAGTTCAAATCTTAATTCCAGAGGCTGTTCCTCTGTCCTCCACAGTGTGGGCATCATATCTTCCCTGCAGAGTGACTTGGGGCATTGCCTGGAGTTTATGGTTTATGCTGGAGTTCCATGTGAACTCCAAGTGAACCAAAATGCGTCACGTAAGAATGTTCAGTCATTCGTTTGCCAGGAAGAAGGTGTTCTGCACTATTGGAGAACATGAAGAATTTATGTTCATTTCACAGCTAGTATGTAGCCCGTATAGATTTTTGCACATCTGTAGTACCTCGTTGAATCCCAAAATACAAAGCATATGTTTTTAGCTAAAACTTGGAATGTACCCCTGGTGTTGGTTCAGATGGAGGTTGGATCACATTCCCATCATTCCCATCAACCACTCTGGAGTTCATTTGGAACTGCACTGAGACCTTGTTTTGGTCTGTACCCGAGTGCGATCACTGTGTGCACCAGAGAACCACACCAAGGGGAAAATGAGCCAGAGTTCAGTTAAAAAAAAACAACTAGCAGTTAAGAAAACACAATGAGCACTTTGAATACATTTCTGATAGCTGCTGCTGCTTTCTTCTGCGATGTTTTGTGGCTTTGACTTGTTTTGTTTGTGTTTTTTGTTTAGCTGGCTCTGTTTAAGGTTTCACTCCAGTTCCACACCAAACTGGGTAAGCTATAACTGGCTTGACGTTGTGCCACAAAACCAGAAACGGTCAAACCCAAACTCCATTTCTTGTTCAGCTTCACGTTTCTGTGTTAGTTTCATCACTTTCATCAGTTTGTTCATTCTATTCGTAAACCTATGTTACATTTCAGAGTGTGTCGGCCTTCTCTGTGTCTGTGTCAAGTTTTCATGTTCTTCTTGTGCATCCATGAATTTCCTTCAGGTACCCCGCTCTGCCCAGAGACCAAAGGCATGTATGTTAGGTTTGTTAGTGATTCATTGCCAAAGCAAGAAACCCTTCACTACCTTTTAGGTACTTCTGAACCTAAAGACGAAACCTCTCAGGAGAAAATATACTGGATGGGGCAACAAGATGTAAGGCACCATCAGTACAAAGAGATCCCGGCATGCTCGCTGGGCGGGACTTTTTTCACAAATCCGAATGCCCATTTTTCGATTATTATATTTCTGTAACATCGCAGGTTCGTCATACCTATCTCGATACTTCATCCATTAGTTTGTGCTCTATTTTTAGTATTTATTTAGTATTATTTAACATTTTCATGTTTTTATTTCTGTGTTTCATTTTCAATATCTGCCTTCTAATTTCTGTTTCTTATTTGCATGCAATTGTTTTGTCTCACTGCGGTATCAGTCCCATAAAACATCACACTCTTATTATTTCAAAGCATTTCTTCACAGTGGCTGATTTATTGCGGAGGTATCAGAGCTGCTCAAACAGTGGATAAGCTTTGTGTAGCTTCTGTTTGGTTCCCACCTCCTCGTTGTTTAGTTTGTTAGAGATAATCATGTTTATTTCAAGGTTTTTTCACACTGTTCTCAATTAAAAAGAGTCTCAGTTTCTCAGTGTGGTTAATATTTTCTTTATCTTTCACTCAAAGCATTCATTGTCAAATATGAATTCGTGGCAGCAGAGATGATAATTCTAACAGCACATTCATGGGTGTGTTTACTGTATGTCATTATGTGATGGCATGCCCGCTTTTCACCGATGAGAGAAACACTTCCATAATTCTTTTCCCTGGTATTTTCTATTATCATTTAATTGGCAGCGGTGCGCAGACACACAATCATACTGAGTTCAGTATTGAACAGCAGTCCCAACGACACAGTGCGCCTTCATAGTTTTTCTCTGTCTGTTCAAGAAACCGTAAATAACCAATCAAATTGAGAGCTTTTCAAATTCTTTTCATCAGCTGAATGACCACTGGAGTGACAAGTCAAATAGTACACTGATGAAACACGCACATACTGTAAATTTACAGACAATACACTGTTTTCAATTCACAAGGTTAATTATTCCTGATTAAAGAGAGTTCAGCTAAGCTGTCTCAGAGGCAGACACTGGTAACACTGGTGAGACCACCGGTGAAAAAAAAGGGGAAAAGAAAAGAGTGGAAAGCTGTTTATGAAAGGTGTTTCTTAGGCGGGAAACCCTTGCAACTCAAAAGGTGCTGTTCTGGTGAGCCCCAAAGGGCTTTCTGAGCCTCCTGCATGGAGTATTTCTCTGCAATCACAAACTCTGTGTAAACAATCTTGGTATCAAAATAAAGCTAACAGATTTCATCAGAGGTTTAAATACTGCAGCAGTTGTTACTGTGTCAAAGTTACTGAGGCTAGAACACAGATAGTCAGTAATCAACATTTAAACATCATCTGTGCCAAGATTTATGATTCCATGGTGGTCTTCTTTTGTGGCTGGTTCACTGGATTTTGGTCGGAGCGTGTTGAAACTTGGAGTTTGGGGATCTGTGAGAGCCCAGCTAGCTAACCAGGCTTTGGTTCCCTTTTTACATGAAGTCGGGAGAGTTCGTGGCTCTGTTGTGTGTGTTTAGAAGACTTTTGCACAATTACGTAACTGCTCTTTTAATCATTGCTTGTTCTCACTGTGTTTGGTTGTTGTAGAAATGGTTTATATGAGCGTTTAGATTCTAAGGTTTCTGTGGATACCCCACATGTCAATATTTGCGTAAAAAACTTCATGCCACGGAGGGTTGCATACCTCTCAAGAGGTTTGACTAGTATTAAAATGATGCCTGCAAGCCACTCTGCAACCCAATTCCAGCTCTAAGTTTCCATTTAGTTTCTGTGTCTTTTATTAAACTTAACTGGAGAAGTTGTTTCTTTTCTGCCAGGTTTACATTTCCTTAAGGTCTATTTTCTGTTCTATTCAGTTTTCTCTCTGTGCACCCAGTGAGTAGGTGAAATTATTTTGGTTCACCACTGAAACACCAACTGAGCTCTGGTCGTCTTACACTATATAAACATGACAGGTTTTATAGTTAGCTTCTCAGCTAATTCGTTCACGCAACTAGAATCTGTGGTCGTCTTAGCATCCCTGGATTTGCACGCTGCAATGAAAGCTCAGAGAAATTTGGTTCTAATGTGGGATCTCAGTCCTAATCTTACGAATTAGTGAGGATAACTTAATAATGGCAAAAATCTTAACCTAGTTTTGTGGCTGTCTCCCACTGTTTGTCGACTCTGCTGCAGCGGGATGTGTGCTGTAAATGTCAGAGCAATTTTTCATTCTTCATCTGTGCCAAAATGAATTCCTGAGGCCTGACTGTTTGGCAGTAACAGCAGCCTGATCTGCTGCTTGGCTTTGCTTTTGTGTGCTAATGCCCCCCTGAGGAGCCCCAGCAGGTCTGTGTGTGGTGGCTCAGTGAATGTGAATGTCATGGTAATTTTACACTTTATCCCTAAAAGGATGGAGTTATATACTTCGCCTATCTATATCTGCTGAGATTTCATCAGACAGTGGTTCATCTGTGCACATTTCTTTTGTACGTCCTGACCAGAAGAATGTGATCTGGCTTTTTTCAGTTATTCTTCCTGAGAGAGAATTTCTACATCTGTCCTACTCTAAGACACTCAGGAGAATCTCACATGGATTGTACCACATGCTGGTTGTATATTGATAAAAACATTTAATATTTTGGTTTGAATAATGTAACTTGATAAAAATATAATCCAGACTCAGAGTCAGAAGTGTCAGCATGTTTTAAACTAAACAAGTTGCATGAAAATGAAGCCGATGTGGATAAAACTGCAGTTCCTCTGGATGCCACCTGAGGCTGGCTTCAAAAGTGAGTCGTCCCCACAGCCCTGTTAAAATGCCTCAAACTTTAATGCATTAAAACGTATTTATATGTTTTGGTGTATTGATGGTCAGGCTTTAAGTTATGAAACAGTCCAGAAAGAAACCCAGTGCCAAACACAGCAGGCAGGATAAAAGTTCACTAAATCTTCAGTCCAGCTCATATATGATCATGTAATGAAAACAACGGGAATACAACGAAACAGAACTTGAAGAAAGACTTAAAACAGTTTAAAGACGAGTGTCAGGGAGAGCAGTGGAGAATATGAATCCTGTAATTAAGTGTACAGACTGTTCTCATCCATGCTGTGTGTCTCAGTTAGGCCCACATCACTCAACCAAGCAAAGCCATCTTTACAAAATCTGTAGAAATAGGAATTGAATGTGTTACGTTGCTCTGAAAGGGTCCAGGCGATTAGGAAAAGTAACAAAAAGTGTCTGGGTCAGAAAAACGAGACAGAGAGGCAAAATGGTTAAATTAAAGAGTTTTATTAAAGTTTCTATTAATAACTCAACTAAAAGAGACGGACAAGCTGCTATCACCATTTAAAGAAACAAAACAAAACAAGCGTTGGTCAGTAAACTGAAAAGTAACTAAAAAGGATTCGTTGCCAAACACTCGCCCACACAGGCCCTAACCCAGCCAGGGCCGTGACAAATGTAACAAATCTCCAAATGTAACAAATCTCCAAATGTAAATGCAAATCTTTTAAGCAATATGCTTTCTCGACATCTGCTGATGACACAGGAAACCTCCAAAACCCCCTTGTTGCCCCTGAACGAGTTTTGAGTTCTGCTTGTAATGATGCTTATATTTGAATATGTGAAGTCCGAGTACTGGCCAGTGAACCCTCTGATGTCTAAATTATAATTCCTGAGAAGTAGCCATCACCCTAACCCCTAATTTCCTACATTTTGGAGAAAATTAAATGCTAAATGAGCAGTGACAGGGCTCTGTAAGTTGTTGCTAAACCCTCCTTTAGTTACACTGCAGTGGGCCTGGGCTGCTGGAGGCTTCCCCAGTGAGGTGAAATGAACGCAATTACTGAAAAAATGTTTATTTGGAAAAAAGCGATTAGTTGTAATTTGTCAACAGTCAGCAGAAATTTAAAATGATTTAAAAGCTGATAAATCTCCAAACATTGATTGTGTTCATCTGGACGTAGCGTTTTCAGTGGGAGGAACATTTCCTCACTCATCCAGAGGACTTCTTCACCCTCAGCTACCTGCAGCTTCAACCATCCTTTTTAAAACAAAACGTTTGCACAATGACTGAAACTAGCACCACTGACAAACAATGTGCTGCGAGGTCACTTCCTTTATCATTAACCATCAACTAATTTGGGGGTTTTCTTACCTGGATGATTGAGCATGCATCAAGACAAAAGCTGCAGCGGTTAAATCCAAGCAGGGCTGGGCTACATGAACAGTCTGCGTGGAGCGTAGAGAGGAATCCATTTTCTGAAACGTAATCTCAAGACCACCAGCTGCCAATGCTTTAGCTTTTTATTGGCATGTTCTAATTTATCTGCACTCATGGGAAGCCTTGGCACAGATATCAACTGCATGTTATCAGGATAACCGTACGTTTCACTAGAGGCCAAGAAAGAAAAAAGGTTCCTCTTGATAACTGATGGATTCCAGATAGTTGTTAAATTATCTATTATCCACAGCTGCTTTGATACTGATTAATAACTTCTGCAAAATGTATTAAATTGGGGCAGTCAGAGTCTGATATGCAGTCTTCAGTTTCAGAATGCCTGTGATGTAAGGAGCCTCACTTCACTGTTTGCTGTCATTAAATCACCATAAAGCATGCAGGAACTCTTTGAGGCACTCTTCGTATTAGCTCTTCGTATTAGCTGATGGTTGAAATGTCCCCT